CCTACAGTAAAGTTATGTGTAACTATTTATGACCTTGATTACCCTGTTCAAATGCAAATAAATAATTATTCTATTCTATTCTTCTATTCATAATTTGCTCCACTTGAGTGTCGTATGTTACCGGTGCTTCCATAATAGTACGAACTCCAAAAGCGAACATGTTCTAACGAGAACATATATTGATATTCACGTAATGGAAATAATATATTATGTGTGATATGACACCACAAGGGCGATTATAAGATTGATGAGGATATTTCTCTATCAACGATGTTTTGTTACTGATACTTGTATGTGTAGGCAAGCCATGGAAGGCAAGTCCTTATTCATAATGAGTTCCATACGGAGGAAGCAAATTATACATAATATGCCCCCGCGAGGGGCGGTCATCAGAGTTTTGGTAATATGCACGCCGCAAAGGTGGTTTGCTACCGGTACTCGTATATGTAAGCAAGGCATTAGAGGTATTTCATAAGGTTTCACGTAGTGGAAACAAATTGTATATAATATGCACCCCGCGAGGGTGATTTGCTACCGGTACTCGTATATGTAGGCAAGGCATTAGAGGCATTTCATAAGGTTCCACGTAGTGGAAACTAATTGTACATAATATTCACCCCGCGAGGGTGATTTGCCACCGGTACTCGTATATGTAGGCAAGGCATTAGAGGCATTTAATAAGATTCCACGTAGTGGAAACAAATTATATATAATATGCACCCCGCGAGGGTGATTTGCCACCGGTACTCATATGTGTAGGTACGCCATGTCTTGACACGCCTTGGGCTTCATGAAGCTTATGAATATTACTTGCCTCTGCGCGAGTTGCTCATTAGGTTGATGAAATGTCAATCACTTAAATCCATGACAAATACTTACTTAATACGAGAAAAACAACCTCATATATGGTATCTTATTAAGTGGTGCTTCATCACAGAGATCACTAACTTCTTAAGCAGTGCTTTAGTTTTTACTTTTTAGCTTTATGCTAGCTGTAAAAGACCTAAGAAACGATACTGTTATCTTATCACTTTCGTTATTAAAATTAACTGAGCAGGTGCCTTCCCGCAATGATTCATTTTTATTTTAGAAATATGCATTTGCTGAAAGAAAATTAATGTCAGGAACGTGATATATCATAAATTATCATCATACTTCTTTACCACGTTGTTTGTTTCTAGGTTGATAAAGCCTGGATTATGATTATAATTTTTAATTCACATCAGCATATCATTTAAAATAAACGTTGAATGTCTTTCGAACAGAGCGTTAATTCATCCTAGTTTAGTCACACGACTCATATGAGAATTTTTATTACGTGTATTGGTCAGTAATGTGTGTGTAAAATGTTAGAACTTTTTATTCATAAGCCTTTACATATTGATAGCTGGCCATGTTCAGAAAACGGCACATCGACATTAGAAATACCTTATTAAGATTATAGTTCACTTACCCCTCGAACAATCTTTAAATAAAAGGGCTGGCATATCAAGCTCGCTTATTTTTCTTGAGGCAGCGATGCCGCTTTCGTTATACCAGAAGACGACAAATTCAATCAATTATTACTGCAGCTGTTCGAAGAACAATAATGACTAGATCCACACATCTTGCTGTTTTTGCCAATAATGCCAGTCAGTCGGCGGCTGAAATGTCAATATTGACCGATATTCCTTCAGTCTAAACTGTAAAACAATTTAATTAAGTATTTTGTAATACATTTACCAATTTACTTTCACATTTACTTAGACGGAAACATTAATTGAGTACCAAGTAAAAACACTCTTAAAATAGTTTTTATGATAAACGACCAAGACAGACGTAAAGTATTGCAAAATTTACTTTAACGTATGTACTTTAATTTTTTAAACAAAACGCACCTTGAATTGCCGTCAAGTTTTACTCACGGCTAATAAGCCGTGAAGTAATAATAATTACTTTTTCAAACAAGCGTATTGCACAATTTAACATATTTGTTTTAAATATCCCATATCACAAGGGCTGCAAAAACTATCAAAAAGAATAATAGTTTTACTTACGGTTCCTTCACTTTTAACACGTAAAGTACCTATTTGGAATAACACGAACGGCAAAAACCGTTAAAATAAAATAGTTTTACTTACAGTTTTATCACTTAATAATAATAAAACCTTTAAAATCTCGCAACGATCGCTCAGATTGAGGACGTGTTGCTTCGACGGGAGTCAGAACGCCAATGAGTTAATATGGCGCTGTCAAAACTTAGGAAAACAAAAATGGCCGCGCTTCTGCCAGGTGTCGCCACTGGACCGGATACAAGGTGAATAAAAGTACGGAAACTGATAGTAATTCGACGGGAAACGGAAGTGCTATCTCAATATAAAGCTTTCAGTGACGGTCAAGTAGTTTAATAATGTAATTTCTTGAAAATAAAAGTGTTTCAATGACAATAATGAGTTTGCATGAAACGATCCCTATGCAGTACCTACCTAGTAAGATTTACCTACATTGTAGGTAATTTCCTTTTAACCCGACTGCGCCATGACTTACAAATGAATAAAACTTGTATGTTTAAACTAATATTCTTTTATTGAATTATGTAAGAACAAAAATCAGCAGTCGGGTTTTTTACAAGCATTTAATTGATTTGCAATATAGGTAGGTATGTAACTATATTTGTTCGGGTGGAATCTTGCAACTCAATTTTGAAGCAGATATCTTCAACCGGTTGAGCTGAAATTTTGTATATACACGGTTAGCTGTGTGGCGTCATTCTAAATCTAACATGGCGGAATAGTTATTTTTAATGCATTCCTACGATATGGGTACATGGGCTTGCGGAGAATCTTTACATATAATATAAAATATTTACAATCACAAAACTAGAAAGAAACTCAATTATGTAGATGAAATTAAAATACTGTAGGCGGGCGGCCCTACCGCGTGTAACGCAGCGCTCGGCCGTAGGCATTTATTTCAAAGACAGGGCCGAGTCACAATACTGTATAGACAATATTACCGTGCCTTTGGGTCGGAGGATTTTTTTGCGATCCTTGTAATAATGGCGTACTCAGCTTCAACCGCCTCTTCAATGATATATACCGTGTCTCTACCACTAGTGGGTTCACTGGTCACTCCGAAGGAACGACTAGCCCCATATTTCGCTCGAGCCTCGTATGTCATTTTTACCATTTCGGTAGTCTCGTTGTTAAGTGAGAGTTGTAACTCCCCACGCAGTGCTTGATTCAGCTCTTGTTGTGTCTTTGGGTGGTCAACATACTGTACGTGGGTTTTTATAAAAAAAATAACATTTTTAGTGGAAATCACTGTAGTTATAGGAAGAACCACTCCATCTCACTGAGGACATTTTTCTAGGTTCGAAATCGCAAGTAAATGACTGTAAAAACAAAGATTATTGACGGACACTTCTGAGAACTTAAATTATTAGGAAAACTAAATTTTTTGAGGTTATATTTAATATTCAATGAACCATAGGTCAACCTATGAACTAAGTATGAAGTGAATTAATATTACAACTAATTCATTTTATTCGGTGCTATTTTAAAGAATAACTATTAGGAAAAACTTGGTTAGGTAGGAATCATGAATAAAATCGACGTCCCCCGCGAATAATCCGGTAGTGACCTATTACGGGGTTTTACATGTTATGCGTTTTTCGGCATCTAGAAATAATACACCATATCATTTTTTTTCATATTTTTTCTATCTTTATTTACGAAGATATGAAAAATTACGCGTAAGTATATTTCATAAAAATCATTAAAATGTATTTTAAACGATTAATATGGTTTTAGATTTTTACGGAAAAAAATATCAATATGATTTGACAGTAAACATTGTTTCGTTATTATTCGGGCAAACAAGTTTCAGCAACTCCCTATTTCGATGCGCCCTTTTTTCCGGTTTGAGCATGCCAAACCTAACAGAACCCTAGTTTGTTTAGAGCGTCAAAAACTGTAAAATTATAAATCGGGTATTTACGTTTGTAGTGCAAAATTGACACTTCAGACTGTGGTACATTCAAAACTTTTTCTAAATCAAAAATGGCCACAACGGTGTCATCTCTATAAAGTGTTTCTTTTTCTTCTTTTTTAATTTCACGAACTCTTTTTTTTTATTCATACTCAAATGTTTCCTGCGATTATCTTCTAAAGATGCCTTTTCAATGGAGTCAGCTTGCTGATATTGTGAACATAAAGGACACTGATCCTTTTTAGGCTTAAAAAAGGAATAGTTGTAGTTACTATTAAACACTCTTCCATACTGTCGTTTTGAAGCCATCTCAACAATATATGGATAGTTCTGATTTGCAAGCCATAACTTGTAAAGTCGGTACATTTTTGAAATACTCAATAAAGACCACACGCCCCAAACGGGGCGCGCTCTTAAAATACGTCGCACGGTCAAACACCGCACGCACCGATCGGGCCGCGCTACCCACGGGCCTATAAGCCGTTTTTGTGATATATAGAGCCTACTTTTGTATTGAGAAGTTTAACCATAGATCAGTGGCGGACTAACAGGGGGGCGGAAGGGGCGGCCCGCCCCGGGCCTCCGATCTTGGGGGGCCCCCAAATGCCTCCGAGTTCCCCTGATCAAATCCTATACACGACTTTAAAAATGTGCTTAGTATCTACATAATTTCATCAAGATCAAAACACTATAGCCATCTAGACTTTTTACGCGGTATTACTGAACGTGTCCAATACGCTGGGGGAATTCCCGTCTTTGTAGTAGGTACTTCCTCAGAAATCCCTGAATGAATGAAGTGCAAATAATTCACTCTTTTACGCCTACATAAAAGAGGCTGCTGGTGTGTCAAAGAGAGTACCATCTTATTTGTCAAAAAGAATACAAAATGAATGTTTGGGTGATCATGTAAGGCAAATAATTATTGCAGATATTATGGAATTATTTTTGACAGCACTCCTGACGAAAGTAAAATTAATCAAATGAGTCAAATCATTAAATTCGTTCATATAGAGAATGACATAGGTGAAGTACGAGAATCTTTCTTGGGTTTATTTTTAATGTCTGGAAAAACTACTGAGGATATGTCAAAAGACATTCAGCAACAGCTGGAAAAAGTACTGAATATTGCGTTGTGCAGGTTATCACAATGCCGCGTCAATGTCAGGTGTCCATGGAGGGGTGCAACGAAAAATCCGAAAAGTAAATCCAAATGCACTGCTCAGTCCTTGTTCTAATCATTCCTTGAATCTTTGTGGAGTTCATGCATTTGTATGCGTTCCTTCCAGCGACACGTGTTTTGGAACAGTAGAGAAATTATATTTTTGTTATTTTCGTCATCTACACAGAGATGGCAATTGCTGAGAGAGAAAACGGGGAAAAATTTAAAACGTTTATCGGATACTCGCTGGAGCTCTCATTACGAGTCAGTAAAAGTTGTAAAAGAAAACATAGAGACAGTTGTAAGTAGTTTGGAACATTTTCAAGATACAACCAAAGCAAATCTAGATACAAGATCGGGAGCATGCTTGCTCCTGCTCCGGCTGTTTGTAATTTTACCTTTCTAACCTATTATACAATTCTGACTTTCTGTACTGGAAGAAGTAACTTAAATTCAACAATATTTGCAGTCTCCAAAAATGACTCTTCATACAGGAATCACCAAATTAAACGCCTTGTATGAGTATTTAGTGACCGAAGGAACCACCATTATAGACAATGTTGTAACTTTTGTCATAAAAAAATGCAATGACGGGAAAAATGCAATGATGGGAGTGACGTCACGGATGACATTACGCGGTGTTACGGTGTTTATTTATAAATTTAATATTCATATATTTACTTGTTGTATCAGTCTGTTAATGCTCGCTTTTTATCCTTTAGAGTCAGTGCCTCTGTGGTAGTGTGGGTTGAGTGATTTGCGATCTACTTTTGATATTTTAAAATAATATCAGAGATTGAATCAGTTTCATTTCGTGGCGGGTATCTGGGTATAATTTCGTGCCATCAATCACCGGCTCGTACTATAACTACAATTAAAAGAAACAATTGTTTACATACAAAAATATATTTATTGTGGCAATAATTAAAATAAAAACTTTCAATTAGTTTCGAATTTAGTACACAAGACTTGCGATTGTGTCGCCATCTAGTGACATACGCTGGGAACTGCGTTTATTGTTTATCTCCTGCATAAATAGCGTATTGCTGAGAGTGGATAAGGATGGTGAACTGCGGAGGTTGTGGGAAGTTCCTACCGGTGGCGGGTGGCGCTGCTTGCTCTCTGTGTCCTTTGAAGTTCCACAAAGCCTGTTTGAATATTCCAGATAAGGCACATATCAGTAAGGAGTGGGCCTGTCCGAACTGTAAAAAAAATAACCGTAGGGGTGATAATAGTCAGACTCCCGTTAAAGGCATTTGTGCCTCCCCACCGAGGGAGACTGCGTCAAATGTGCCGCTCGAAGCTGCAGGAAATTATGATGTGTCAGTGAGCAGTGAGGAACGTCATCACCTCGAACTTGCTACATTTATGGCGGAGATGCGTGAGTTTCGGAGGGAGATGAACGAGCTCCGTGTGTCTCTGTCAACGCGCATTGACAGCATCGAGGTGAGGCTGGACGCGCTGGAGCGCCGCGAGCCGGACGGCGGGACTGCAGAGTTGGAAAGAACCATCGACGAGTTGAAGCGTGAGCTTAATGATCGCGATCAAGAGGCGCTTCTGTCGGACCTCGAGATCGGTCAGTTACCGGAGGAGAGGGGTGTAAGCGTCGTGCAGTCCGTCACCGTCCTGGCTGCAAAGCTCGGAGTCGCATTAGAGCCGAGAGACGTGGTATTCGCGGAGCGCGTGGGCGCGCCGCCTTCGGAGGCGGGCGGGCGGCCGCGTCGCGTGGTGGTGCGTCTGGCGCGCCGGCACCTGCGGGACGAGCTTCTCAAGGCCGCGCGCGTGCGCCGCAGCGTCGTTTCATCTACGCCCGCGCCCGCGCCCGTCGACGGGGAGAGGACCACTACCCCCGCTGCCCCTGCGCCCGCGCCTGCCGAGCGCCGGGTCTACCTCAACGAGCGATTGACTCGATCGAACCGCCAGCTACATCTGAGAGTCCGCGAGGAGTGTCGTAAGCTGCAGTGGAGATACGTGTGGACGAAGAGAGGCCGAATTTTTGCTCGACAGGCGGACGGTACCCAGGTTTATCAATTCCTGACAGTGGGAGACATTGCTCGTGTGCTTGGTTCCCAAAAGGCATGACTGGATATAGTCCTCACTCTACCTTCGGCTGCTTTCGGAATTACTTTTGCTTCTTTTTCGTTTTGTGTCAATATTCAGTTATATACCGTTTTTGTTCTTTTACCTGTAAAAAAAGTAATTTTATTTTTTACTCTAATTCACTTACTATTTAAGTTATCACATGGCCCTGAATATATTTTTGTTCTTGTGGCATTTTTCAATTTTACAATTGTTAGCTGTTTGTTTTTATTTTATATCTATGTTTATTCACCAGTTTTAATATGTACTCTTACCAACTATTTTATCTGTTCACTGATTGTTTTTGCTCAATATGTTTATATCTGCAGTGCAGTACTTGTAGCTGTACTTCCTAATTATATATATCTATGTGTCATGTTCCTTTCAGTCTGTTCACTCACTTTTCCCCATTATTTTTCAATATACCTGTTTAACATTATTGATCATATTCTCCTTTTCCGCATTTTCATTAAGTATGCAGCAAATATAATTAACTACGATAATTCATTTCAGGACTTTCTTACTACTTACTTTCCCCTCTCAAAATGACAAATAAATTTCTTAAGTTGGGTTTGTTTAACGCTGGGTCGCTGGGTTCGAGACACGACGAATTCATATCTATCATGAGCAGGTTGTCTATTGACATTGTCGCTATAAATGAGACCTGGCTTAGACATGGGGAGGATGGCCGTGCTCCTATGGTGCCTGGTTACCGTCTTCGGCACTGCCCTCGACCTGTTTCTGTTCGAGGAGGGCGAGGGGGAGGAGTGGGTTTTTATATTAAAAAAAGTATATATGTGCGTACTTGCCCCATTCCTCCCACCCCTACTGTGGAGCAGATGTGGCTCAGTGTTAGGGTAAACTCTCTCCAAATCGCTATTGGCACTGCTTATAGGCCCCCCTGGATGGATCTAAATGTATTCCTTGATGCCCTGTCTCAGTCGGTGTGTTCGGTGGCTCGGCATGACTATATCACCCTGTTAGGAGATTTTAATGTTGACTTTACTAACTTTAATAATGCAAAATATAAATTACTATCATCTTTCTTGGAATCTTTTAATTTAATGCAAGTTATCACTTCGCCAACTCATTTCACAGACCATAGTCAGACTCTGATTGATCTGTTTTGTACTGATGCTAGGGTACAGAATATAAATGTTACCCACATTCCTGAGCTTGGTAATCATGCTGTTATATCAGGTGAACTATGTGTAAAAAAAGTTAAACCGACCCCATATACTATAACCTACAGGCCTTTTAAAAGTATTTTAGCAGAGCAATTTGAGATGGATTTAAATTTAATTAATTGGAATAACATTTCAATACTCACAGATCTTAATTCCATGGTTGCCAGTTTTAATTCTTTGGTACTTCAATTGTTTGAGTTGCATGCCCCATATAAAACAGTCATCATTAGGGAACAGCCACATCCTTGGATTACTGACACTGTGAAGGAAATGATGAGTATTCGAGATGAGGCATATGCTCGTTGGAAGAGTACAAAATGTGAATCACATAAAACATTTTATAAGGAAATGAAATCAATTGTAACCTCAGCCATATTTCAAGAGAAAAAATGTTATTTCAATCAGCATATAAATAAAAACATAAACAAACCAAAAATATTATGGAATAATCTAAAAAAAAATATATCAATAAAAAATGACAAAAATATACCTATTCCTTTTGATCCAGATGTTATTAATGACCACTTCTTGAATGTGCCTGGTACCCCATCAGTAGATATTTCTAAGCTGACCTACTTTGAATATCACAGACGCGGTGATGCCACCTTTTCTCTTTCCTCTGTATCTGAGAGCACTGTTGCAAATATTATAAAGAGTCTGCATTCTGATGCTGTTGGAGTGGATGGCATATTTTTACAGATGCTTGTCATGACTCTTCCACAATCTCTTAGTGCAATAACATCCATTGTAAATAAATCTTTAAGTGATGCACAATTTTCTGACTTTTGGAAAACAGCTCTAATTAAACCTATTCCTAAATGCACGAATCCATCCAGTGTTAGCGATCTTCGACCAATAAGTATTCTGCCTTGTCTGTCTAAAATTGTGGAGAAGGTAGTGTGTGATCAGATAGTGAAGTATTTGGAATCCAACTCATTGCTACCCCAGCTACAGTCAGGTTTTCGAAAAAAGCACAGTACATCTACGGCTCTCCTTAACGTAGTCGATGATATTCTGTCTGCGCAGGATAAGGGTATGGGTACTCTGATGGTGCTCCTTGACTTCTCACGTGCCTTCGATTCTTTGTATATTCCATTACTTCTATCAAAGCTTTCTTACTTTGGATTTGACGCTGCAGCCGTACGATGGTTTCACAGTTACCTGACAAATAGGATGCAAACTGTGGAAGTGGTAGGTGGAAATGGGTCTGTATTCTACTCTCAGTGTCGTGCAATATGCAGAGGTGTCCCTCAAGGGTCCATTTTGGGTCCCATTCTGTTCATCATTTATAGTGCAGATATAGCTGAAAGCATAAAGCACTGTCAATTTCACTTATATGCTGATGACGTGCAGCTGTATCGGAGCTGCTTTCCTAGCGATACTGGTGAATCTGTGGATAAGATTAATGACGACTTAAATGAAATACTTATCTGGTCACATGAGAACAGTTTAGTTCTCAATCCATTGAAGACTAAATATTTGATTCTTGGCTCTAAGAAACAGGTGACTAGCATCATGTCAAATGACCCTCAAATTTTTGTTAATGGTCAGTCCATTGAACAGGTATCAGAGGCTAGGAATCTGGGAGTAATTTTTGAATCAAATATGAATTTTGAGAAACATGTTCTCGAGGCTGTTCGAAATTGTTTTTACCATCTCAAGGTGCTATATAAATTTCGCCCTTTTCTTAGTGAGGATTTAAGAATTCGTCTGTGTGAAACATTGGTCCTGTCTTTTATAATAATGGTAATTTTAAGTTGTTCTTGTTACAGACACAGGTGCAGCCCGTTTAATTATCTTTTCCCTTACCTTTTAATTTATTTTCAATAAATATATTGCTTTTTGTAACAGCCGAATCTTTTCTTTTCATTTTTTGTATTGCATACGTGTCACTGTCACTAAAACTAAGAGCAAAGAGTACTTTTTATATACGGAGTCAAAGTCCATCTTTAATTTTTATTTTATTTTTTCTTTGTAAATAACCACAGATTACCTCTGTTACAATGTATAATTTCTGCCACAGATACTGCTATGTGTTCTGTCCTATACTGATTTCTTTTCTTTTTTGTTTTGTTATTTAGTATGTACTTAATCTGTATTTTACCTTTTTCTTTTCTGTGATGTCACTGCTCTGGGTATGGCAGAATACCAGTGCAGCAGGAATTTTTCCTGCTGTGTATGCTGAGTCATATCCAGTGTTGGCATCACATAAAATACACATTTACCGTCTGTAGCTGTTTTTTGTTGTTGTTAATTTTACTTGTACGTTTTGTTTTACTTTTTGTTATATGTATTTTTGACTTTATG